TATGTAAATAGAAAAGGATATCATTCTATAAATACTCAATTGCTATTCAGTTCTATGTATTAATTATATTTATATTTATATATTATAAACGTTCATTTTTTTTTTATATATTTTATATTTTTTAAATTTGTGATTGGCGCTTAAAAATTATGAACATAAGCATGTTATCCTGGAAGTACACATAATGCATTTATTTGAAATAATTGTAATGCAAAAAAATGTGATGATTCGTCTTTATAGACGTTATCCACATAGTAATTACCATTTATTAGGTAAAACTGTTAAAGCAAATTATGTTCAATTTAACATTTTCATTATTATTTATGATTTTTAATTTTTTTATCAAATTTTTTTATTTTTGTAATTTGATATGTTGATATTTTGAATAATAGGCGACTCAGGATATCTTTTGAGACCTTGGATGATAACTCCTATAACAGATACCAGAAAAGATAGTCTAGAGGCTTTGTACAATAGACGGCAAATGAGTTGTCGTTCATTAATAGAACAATGTAACAGATTATTGAAAATGTGATTTAGATGTTTATTAAAACACAAAATATTGCATTATTCTTCAACAGTAGCATCTAAAATTATATACACATGTGCTGTGCTATATAATATGTATGCTACATAATATGTGCATTAACAAAAATGTACTAATATTATTGAATGATAATGATGAAGAATTAGATTTTGGAATATATAACAATGAAAATTATAATGAAGAGGCAAATAATATATATGAAAGGAGTATTAACAAAGTTAATCCAGAACTAGCAGCCGGTAAAATTATACAACGATGAATAATAGAAAATTATTTTTCTTAAATTATAATAAAGACGGATTAAAATATCTCATAAGTGTATCATATTAATGCATCATATATGTGTTTTGTATTATATCAACTTAGATGTTGCACATTGTATCATATGTCTTTTTGTATCATATTACATCACTTATTACGTTAGAACATAGAACTTAGATATTAGAATTATTTTTCTAAAATTATAATAAAAATAAATTAAAGTACTTTATAAATCCCAATAAACATCAATTAACATTAACGTAACATCAATGTTATAATTTCCCTTAACAACATATCTAACATAACACATGTTTTGAATGGAAAATTATAGCATTGACATTATGTTATTGTTAGTTGGTGTTCACTGAGATAAATCACATAATATATCACATAGAGAAAAAATATATTTAAATGAAATTTGAAAAAAATAAACTCTCGTAATATAAATACATAAAAAAATATTAATTTAATTTATTAATGTTTAACTCATATAACTTGTTTTTATATATATTATTAAAAATTATAATAAAAATAAAAAGAAAAATAATGTATTTGTAATAAATATTTGCCAAATCTAGAAACAAATAGAACTGCCTTCTACAAAGGAAGATATGTGCAAATATTATAAACGAGCAAAAAACTTTATTAATAGAACATTAATAAACAAGAATTAGTATAAGCGAAATTTATCTCATTTATACTAAAAAATTCCATTAAATTATAAAAAGAAATCACCGAAAATTTAAATGCCATATACAGAGCTAAGAAAGATTGAAAAAATTATACAACAACGAATAATAGAGAATTATTTTTCTTAAATTACAACAAAAATAGATTTAGTTATTTCATAATATATTATGACATAAACATAATATATTATGTGTATTAAAAAGTTTGAAATTAGAATTTAGATGTTAAAATTTCCACGTTTCGAAAATGTTGGCTATTTTTTCATTTGCTTTGACGGATCTTTTTAAATATTCTAATCTAGCTTTATTAATAACTTTTTTTACTTTATAGGTTTTTTTGTAAATATCTTTTAATTTTGTTGATTGTTCTATATTTATATTTTTTTCGTTGCAACTGTTTGTGTTCCAAATGCTTTCTTATTTATTTGTTTTTTTGTTAAGTTTTGTATGCAAGAATTTGTTATATTATTTGTTATATTTTCTATATCTTCAATTGATTTTTCATTTATTCTGCTTGTAAAAAGCGATTTGACATCTATATCGTCTACATCTATATCTATATCGTCATTAAATATTCTGTTATTAGCTTTTTTTATTTGATAAGATTAGAAAATTATTTTCAGTTTTTATAAATGTTCTTTTCCGTGATGGCAAAATGCAATCTTCAGTAGTTAAATCCATAGTAACTTTTACGTTTTCTGTATCTTCTTCTAAATATTCAACGCCTATTAAGTCTATATCCTGCAAAATATTATATAAAATACAGACATAAATAAATAAAAACAAATAATACATATAAATACTACATATACTACATATAAATAATAATACATATAAATATGCATATGTGTACAATTTTTAATTTTTTATCAAGAAGATACAGTATGAACTTTAATAAATAAATTTCTTTTCATTACATTTTATTATGTAATACTAAATATAAATAAATATTATATTTTTTATTATAATTATAATTTTTATTATAATTATTAATATTATCTTACATCTGAATCTTCCAATAAATTTACAGTGATTTCTTCTATGTCAGGATATCCTTCAAAACTACTAGTTGAAAACTAGTTGAAAACATTAAATTAAGAATTTGTTCTTCTTGCAGTGTTAATATTATACTTTTTTCACCGCCTCCTGTTGCTGTCATAAACTGTTTTATACTGTTTCATACTTTCCTTTGCTCCGTGATCGCAAATCGTGCCAGCACTAAACAAATTTTTTCAATATAAACACTAGATATTAAAACACTCATTTATAAAATTAAATATTTGAAATGTGTAATTTGCAAATTATGATTCAATTTAAAAAAAAAGCAAATTAAAAGATTTCTTATTTTCCATAATGTAAAATTTTGTATATAATAAAGTTTTTAAATTTAAAAATTTTTTTAAATAAAAAACATTTATTTTTTAAAATAAATTACTAAATATACAATTTTTATTTCAAACTATACCTTACGTCAACTTTTCCAATCTTTCTTAGGTCCATTTACTGCATTTAAATTTTCGATGATTTCTTCCCATAATTTAATGGACTTTTTTAATGTAAATGATGAGGAAATTTCGCTTGTACTAATTCTGGATGTTTATTTATACGTTCTATTAATAAAGTCCTTTGCCCATTTGTGATATTTGCATCTCTTTTCCTTTTATCCAAGTTATTTATCTGTAATAAAATAATATTTAAACAAAAATATAATTAATAAATACAAATAAATAATTATAGTCAATCAAAAAATTCATATTTGAGTAAAGTTTAGTTTTATTATATGAAATAAAAACAATTTATTTGTTAATCAAATAGCCTTTGTTGATGATGTTGTAGCTTGAATATTACGATATTATTTTCTTCATGGTAATTCTCGGTATAGCAATCTCAGTATAGCAATCGAACAGAGCTAAGGAAACATCGGCCGGAAATGCAAGTATGCAAAAACAAGTCTGCAAATTTCAAAGCAGAGCGCGAACAAAGTTTGCATGCTGTTTTGACTATATAAGGTCCAATTTAGAGTTGTAACGTGATCAAACGCGACACTACTATAAATACTATAAAAACGGTTGCTAAATCGCCGAGAAGGAGCAATCACAATACATAACAGGGCAATCGTACTTTGTAACGGCCAATCGTTATCAGTAATAGCGAGATTCACTCGAAACATTGTCAAGAAGCCTTACCAATAAATCAGCTATTTATTAAAAGTGAGTAATAACATTTGACCAGAAGAACCTTCCACCAACAATCCTGCTCGGAGTTCTAATTCCTAAGGCTCGGCGAACCCGGTTTTCCCTTGTAAGGTTTGGACACCTAAGACTTTTATCTCCCTAAATTCCTAAACCTAATGTAAAGTTTGGACACCTAAGATTTCTATCTCTTATCTCTCTAACCCTTAGACTTTCTATTTCGACTTTGTACTTTCTATTGTTTTCAAGCCCTATATAAGAATACGAAAGACCCGGAAAAGTCAGTCATTATGCTGTCAGTGCGGCTCATAATTCTCTAAGATAGCATATTCAATATTATACTATAAGAACTATTGTAAAATTATTGTAAGACATAAGTAAAATAAAAATTATTTTTTTTAATTCATAAACATCGCGTGTCTTACACCCTAAATCTTGTAATCCATCTGGGCTACAACATTTTGATGGCAGCGGTGGGATAGTCGACATCCCCAAGATTCATTTATCTGAGAGGATAATCGCTAACCGTGCTAGTAGAAATCGACAGGGCAAGCCCTAACAGACAACATGGGCAGAAAGAGAAAAAATTTTTCTGGCAACTTTCATAAGACCTGCAGTACTAGTCCCAAGACTGCAGAAGAGAAACTTTCTCGAATCAAGACTGTGGAAAACAGGTAGACGAAGGAAGCCCTGTCAGAAAATAATAAGCTTACAACCAGAAGAGTATGAAATTATAGCTGTGCCGACTTAGAACAATCCAGCAGTTATTAGCGGCAGCAGAGCAGCGAGCCAGCGTACATCGACACCAGTCGACAAGAACACCCGGTAGACAGCCAGCGAGCGCATATCAGCGACATCGGAGAAGGCACCGACTTACAACAATACGCGATAGCGAAGCAACATGAAGCTAGCGGCGATAGCATTGATGTCAGATGGCGAGATAAATACAAGCTGACCTATTAGAAATACATCGTGGTTACATGGCAAGCGAATACGAAGAGTATGCAGTCTTGTCACCCCCCACGCATATAGTCCAAGAAGCTGTACGCGATATCCGCGATATAGCGTGCGCCGAAATTTAGAAGCACGATATTCGAGTGAAAGCTCACCTGAGCCGGTGACTCCACCCACATACAGTTATTAGGCGAGTATTTCCATTCAATGACGTAGACAATAGCCTAATACCAGACCTAGAAAACGAACACAGACTGCTTCCCAAAACGACATGTTCTGAAAGAAACGAGAGCCAAAATTCATAGCGGAAAGAGTTCTCGTTAACATCTTACGATAGCGTTTTTGATTCGGAAAAACATTACATTGCATCGCGTAACCCCGAACCTAGAAACATGGCGGAACAACAATTATGTATACCTCGTGGCAAGGAAAATGGGAAACAAGAAATAACCCGCACAGAAATAGATGCGGAGATAAAACAGAGCTTCGGCAGGCCCCTGGCGCAGAAGGGTAGATGGGTAGAAGGGTCGCAATCAGAACCGAACAGCGAAAGAATCAATATTAAACGCGTTATTAGAAGAGATTCGCGCGCTACAAGATCGAATGGGTCGACTAGAAGTTACGGTTTTCGATTATAACGAAAACCGATTCGCATAACTACCCTATGAAACACACAGAATGACACAGAATGACGCAACGCCGTGACGGACCGTTAGACATAACTTACGGACGAACACTCGAAGATAGATGTCACGAGCACCAAGAGCGCAATCACGCCCATCGCTGACGAAGCGGATTACGGCAAACAAGCGATACTTCACTATCCGACTATTATCACTTTTGTCACCGATAGCAATTGCTAAATTGTAATCGTATTTATTTCGTAACCACTCTACTTAATCTTATATCCTTGCAAGTTATTCAATTACTAAAATAGGTCGCGCGGTCTTTACTGCTGTGCGACTCAGAAATATATCGCGAACGCGAACATTTTGACTACGCTGCAAGGACCGACCGCCTGGAACAGGAAAACAGGAGATCGGTGCTAGGAGTGGAACTCGTTAAAATTTTGTCTTGCCGTCACGTCTGAATTAATCAGTGCAAGAACTGTACAATACTGTTTAATAAAGTTTTATTAAAAAACGAAGAGTGTCGTGCTTTACGCCGAAAATCCTCAGCTAACTCCCTGGTCGATTTTTCCCCGAAATGACCCGCACAACATAAACTAGTGGCAGCGGTGGGATCGTTTCGGAGCAGCAGCAGCACCCAGTAATCTAGAAAAGGCAAACAACCAAATTCAAGAAGGCTGAAAGAAGAGGAGCTGACCCCGCAAAGAAAGACACCCGGTAAAGCGACAACGCTAAGCATATCAGCGAGCCGGAGAAGCAGCATCCAACCGCAACAGCGAGCCAGCGCTACGTCATCAACATACGAATTGCGACCGTAATGTGAGTTATAGAAAATTAAGGCGAGCGCAATAGATATTAAGAAAAGCGATTAGATGTTGGATGAGGAAGTTAATCAAACTCCCGTCGAAAAAAACACGTCGTGTTTCGCGACTACACCGCGAGTCAGCCAGCCATGCTCAGTTCCTTCGAGCATTGAGCCGACGGAAAATTCTCGCGATCCGCGCAATAACGCGCGCCGTGATTTAAATAATTATTCAGATGATAGTCTAATGAGTCAAGTTACATCCGAATATTGTAATTGAACGCGTGTTTTCACTTAGTGACATAGATAATAATATACTAGCGAGTAACGAGAGACATAACGACGTTCTACTACGATCGACAGATGCAAGATCTGACAATAGTGACGTTACGAACGCAAGTAATCCCAGTCGCGGAGAATTTTCGCCAACGTCTTACAATAGTAGCGTATTTAATCCAACCGAATTCCATACCGTTCCACGAAACGCACCCGGAAGAAATAGCAAATCAGTCCCCAGGCACACCGTTAAAACTAATCGCGGAAGAGCGACAAGTAGAGAATTGGAAGACGAAGTAAAAAGAATGAGAACTACTTTAAATCAGCCGCATTGGAAACCCGATCTGGCAAAAGCTTCGCGCGACGCGAAATATAATGTTGGCCGAATTATTAGAAGGCATGCGAACGTTACAGAGCCGCATAAGCTAATTAGAAGTCACAAATTACAATCGGAATATAGAAAATGACAAATCGATAGAAATGACATACAGGCGTACAATAGACGATGTCCGAAATTTGCGAGACCCCGTGAATACGTTTATGAAACTAAAAGAAAGGCGCGATATGATCCCAGGATGGATCGTCGCGGAATCAAGTTCAAAAATTTTTAAACGCAAGTACTTATATGATGAGCGAAATAAATTCTGCCGACGAAAAATCATTATTGAAAGCGATTCTATGCACGAAGCTAACAGAAAAGGCTATGCACAACTTTCAAACGAGAGATATACGCACGTTCGCGCAATTGAAACAAGAAATCGAGATGTGTTATTTGGCAAAGCGTAGTACCACATACATTCAGCGAGAATTTAACATGATTCGCCAAAGCCGGAGAAAGCACGCGAGAATACGGACTCTGCATAGACAAACTAGCTATGGAACTCTATCAGTCTATGATAGAAGGTCGCGAACATACCGCTGAGCAACGGAAGGCAATTCTAGATACGATTCAGGAATTAGCATTAAAAAATTTCCAATTAGGATTACGTGAAGAAACACAAACAATAGTACGTTCCAGGAATTATACGAATTTAACAGCCGCGATCCTAGGTGTTACAGCCGAAGAAAAATTAAAAGGCAACCAATACCAAAGTTTATAATAACGAGAAAGCAAGAGGCAATCAGGAACAGAATAAAAACCGCAATTAAAAATTAGAGTGTCACAAATGCGGTAGATTAGATCATCTGGCGCGTGATTGTCGAGCCGGTACATGACCAGATATTCGCTACCGCAAGCCGAATTACCAGCAAACATAAATAATATCGAGAAATACTGTTCGTATTGCAAAAAGGCATAAGCGCGACGAGTATTGGTCATTGAACGGACGCCCGAGAAAAGAACAGCCAAGACGAACGAGACAGGATAACGGAAAAGGGCGACAAATAAATATTGCCATAATAATGAAAAAGAATAAGCAGCGAAAGAAAGCGATGAACTGTTGTTCACCAGCAGCGGCGATGACAAAGAAGAAGAGAAACCGAGAACAAAAATAACGCGAGCCATACCGCGAGCATCAAGTGACACAGGTGAATACGCCCCACACAAATGCCACGTTAGAATTGATTATCTTATATCTTACCGATTCGAGAGACGAAAAAAGGAAAAATGAATTTCCTCCTAGTTACAGGCGCCATCTTAATAACCTTAATAAAAGTAGGAAAGGAAACACACTAATGCGCGAAAAGCGATTAGCTCTAACCGGAGTTACGGGCCACAAGATACATACACTCGGAAAGATAAGAGCAATGATAACGCTAAGAGACCGAGAGCTACGACATATTATGTATGTGGTGAGAGATGACTTCCCCATAAACTATGAACTATAAGGGAATATTGGGACTAGATTTTTTAAACAAGCAGCAAGCAAAATGCCACAGCAAAAAACAAAATCCGTATTGGCAACGTTTTAAACTTTACCCGTATAAGAAAATCGTGCTAACACCTCGCAGCGAAACAATAATCCAGGCAGTAACCGATCGAAATAGTAAACGCATCGGAATAGTAAACGCAGTCGAAACTAAACTCGGAGTGTTCATAGAAAATTGTTTGATTTTCAGAAGAAAATGTGTTCCCAATAAGTGTAATAAATACTACGGAAGAATCCGTAGAGATAACAACGCCTCTCATCACGGTGGATGAGATAAAGAGACGCCACACACATGCATACCGTGGAGGTGTCAAGTAACCACGCGAGCGGCGAACTCATTCAGACTCTTCAAGAGAAATTGTGCAAACTATTGCGAACAGAGCATTTAAATGACGAGGAAAGGAAAGCCTTACACCAGATTTGCAAAGATTTTTGTGATATTTTCCATCTAGAAAACGACTGCTTATCGCAACACGAACTTGACTGTTCACCATAGCACACGAAATTAACACACGGACAGATAGTGTGCCGGTGAATGTTCGACCGTATAAATTGCCGGAGAAGCACAAGGCAAAAATAAATAAGCAGATAGCGAAAATGTTGGAGGACGAGATAATCCGCCCCAGCACGAGTCATTGGAACGCGCCTTTACTAGTAGTACCGAAGAAATTAGACGCTTCTGGAGAACGAAAATTACGAATAGTTATAGATTCTCGGAAACGATTTAACAATTGGTTTAACAACTCTTTCCCGCTCCCAAACATCACTGACATATTAGATCAACTAGGAAACGCGAAATATTTTACAACGTTGGATTTAGCATCAGAATATTATCAAATTTCCATGCATGAGGAACACAAAAAAAAACGTTTTCCACAACCTATGGACATTACGAGTTTAATAGAATGTCCTTTGGACTAAAAAATGCGCCTGCAACATTTCAGAGACTTATGAATTCCATGCTAACCGGATTACAAGGCCTCGAAAGTCTATCTGGATGACATCATAATATATGAACCAAATTTAAAAGAACATAACAAAAGACTAATTGAAGTATTCAAAAAATTAAGAAACTACAACCGAATAAATGCTCTTAAGAAAAGAGGTGACATATCTAGGTCACATTATTTCCGAAAATGGTATAATTCCGGATCCATCAAAAATAACGGCCATAACGAACTTTCTAGTACCCAAAAAGATAAAAAACGTGCAATCCTTCATAGGATTAGCCGATTATTATAGAAGAGAATTCATCGAGAATTTTTCGAAGATAGCGAAGTCACTGACAAAATTAACAAAAAAATTCACTTGAACGGCAGAGCAACAAAACGCATTCGAAACGTTAAAAGAGAGGCTAACGACCGCGCCAGTTCTAGCTTACCCTGATTTTACTAAACAATTTATATTAACGACAGACGCATCCGGTTATGCCATCGGAGCGATATTGTCGCAAGGACCAGTAGGCCAAGACCGACCAATTGTTTACGCGAGCAGAATAAAGCGAAACAGAACTATAACACAACAGAGAAAGAATTGCTAGCCATAGTATGGGCCGTCAAACACTTCCGGAACGAAATTTCAAATAGTTACAAATTATAAGCCATTGATCTGGCTATTTAGTATAACAGATCCTGGCTTGCGATTAATCAGAGATGGAGACTCAAATTAGAAGAGTACGACTATGAGGTGATACATAAGACCGGCAAAGGCAACACAAATGTTGACGGGCTCAGCAGAAATCCGATCGCGCCCGACACATAGATAAATAACGTCGAATGTAACAAGGAAGAGCGTGAATATAACAAAGAGGAAAAAGAGCAAATAATATCATAATGTCCCCTTCGGAGGACATCAAGGGGTAACACGCACAGTAAATTAGATACGATTAACACACAACTGGCACGGATTAACAAGAGACATGGAAGAATACATCGCCAAGTGCGAATATTGCCAAAAAAACAAACTGAGCAGGAAAACTAAAATGCCTCTGATATTGAGCGACACGGCGGAAAAATCGTTTGAAAAATGCGCTCTAGATATTGTGGAACCATTCACGGTCACCATGAAAGGAAATAAATATCTATTAACATTTCAGGATGACTTAACAAAATTCAGTAAAACGATACTGATCAGGAAGCAAGCACAATTGCCAAAGAATTCACTACGAAAATAATATGCGAATTCGGAATACCGGAAAAAGTACTGACAGATCAAGGAACGAACTTCGTCAGTGAGATGTCAGTGAGATGTTCAGGGATGTATGCACCCTTCTAAAAATAATAAAAATCCAAACGACCGCGTATTATCCTGAAAGCAACGAGGCCCTAGAGAGGACTTTGACTGAATATTTAAGACACTATATAAACGAAGATCAAACTAATGGGATGAATGGATCCCATACGCGATGTTCACGTACAATACCGCATACAGCAACGGATTATACACCGTTCGAATTGTACAGGCACCAAGCAATTCTGCCTACGGCCCTGACAACGCCGCCTAAACCATACTACATGTATGACAACTATGCGCAAGAATTAAGAGACCGACTCCGAGTCACACAAAAATTAGCGAAAGAACATATCCGCGAGACAAAACAAAAGGCAAAAAACTATGCCGATAAGAATACGAACACTAAAACCTTCAAAGTAAGAGATAAGATCCTCCTGCACGACGAAGCAGAAGACGATCGAAGAAATTGGAAGCACCATGGATAGGCCCATAAATAATTGAGAAAATCTCAGATGTTAATTATAAAATTAAACAAAAACGAAAAATCGTAACGATGCACGCAAACTGACTCAAACTATTCATCGAAAGCTAAGGAAACGACCGCGAATAATTACCCGCGAAAAGCAAAAGCATTAATAATAAAAATAGTATAAAATTAGAATTAGTAAAGAAGAAATACAGTACTCATTAATCACGACGAGGCAGGATGGCGACGACCCGATACAAATTCATACCCGCAGAGGGTCGCGGAGGTAACGCTCCTCAAGGACGAACGGAGAGGGCGCCTGAGACCTCTCCTGGACACATACCCGTGCGAAGGAGTACAGGAATGATACTCTTTGGTCCAGATGACCGTAGACGGCCACCTGGACATCACCCTAGTCGCCAGCCGTTGCGCCGCCAGACGGTACGACCGCCGCACGCATTGCAAATAAGAGGGATATATTCTCTACTACATACAACGCATTGCATATCCTGAATTTTTTTTCTTTTCCCTTTTACTAAACGACGCGCAATAGGCCAGGGTGACAGACCCTATACCAGGACGGCAGACTGATAAAATAATTTATTAAACATCTCACACAAAAAATGCATGGATTCACAGAAGTAATTTAAGTCTTAAGGTTTGTCCGTGTTGCATACACTTTTCGCACTTGAATTCTAGTGAGTTTACTAGTAATATGAAAAGTGTACTAATTTATTTATTAGTACACTTTATTACTAATTTATTACTAATTTATTTAGTTATTTGTACGAATAGCTCAAACGTCAAAGTGCATAAACTATTAAAATGGCGCATGGAAATATTAGAGAAAATATTGCTGAAATATTAGAGCTGGAAGAAATAATGGATATATGATCGACGGTATGTAAAAATTAGTAATATATATACATACATTGCTCTACTTGCTAAATAATAAAGTATTTACTTATTATTAATAAATATACTAAATATATATTAATATATTAATATATTTATTAAATTGACGATTATAATTATAATTTCTGTCTTCTTTATAATTTTTAGATGATGAAATGCTACAATTCTTACGATTAGCATTAATACAATGTGTTCATCGTATTAAAGTTAACATTAATACATAATACATAATTACATAGAAACTGTAGTCCGAAATTATATTGAAAAAGATTTTGTAATGCATTTTCGTTTATCTCGTGCAATTGTTTATAATCTCCCGTTTTACAATATCTCCAATTTTTACGTCTTTACAAGGTATTTTATTATTTATAGTAAATATAAAATGTATTATTAATTATTTTTATAATAAATAAAATACAGATTGTAATTTAAATTAAGTTCTTAAATTATTTACATGGTAATTACATTTATTTAAATCCGTTCAATATATATTGCAGAATAAGCAGGATATGCACCAATTTCACCAGAAAAACATATTTTAACTTACTTGTGTGTGTATCTTGATCGAAAGTAGGATATCCTAACGTAGTAGATCGATTTGATATTACAATTAGTACACTGTATGAACTTTTAATAAGGATAACAAACTTTTTAATGCAGCTTACTCCACATATTATAAGATTTCCTATATTATAATAAAAAGAAAAAGAAGAAACAACGGCATATTTTCTTAGAGAAAAACAGTTTCCTGGAATTATTGGTATAATTTACTTTTGTGTTTTATATAACTTTTTTGTGCAAACGTCATGTATAAATTACATATGTATGCCAAACTTAAAATTAAATTTGTGTGTAGGTGCTGTGGATGGCACGCACATCCGAATCGATAAATCAACAATCGATAAATCAAAGATCAAGATTCATACATTAATAAGAAATAATATTTTTCAATTCATATGTAAGGTGTAGTGGACCACAAAATGAAATTTTTAGATGTGTTCATTGGATATCCCGGATCTGTACACGATGCAAGGGTTTTTCAGAAATCTCATTTATACGAATATCTTCAGAATATTTGTTTAAATTAGTAATATTTACAATATTGTTATATATAATTATTTTAGTACTTAATAGTACTTAATAATTTATTAAATATTTAAGTATTTTAACTTTTATTTATTTTATATGTAATTACATTAAAAATTATATAAAATACTTATGTAATAAATATTTAAATATTTAGTAGCTCTTATATAGTT